AGGGAGTTTAAGCTCTAACTCGGGCCCAACACTGTAGTCTTGTTCTATGTCAGATTTAGGCATAGATTTAGGCAAGTGCCTTCCCATGGCCTGCTGCCTTTCCTTGAACTTGTGCAGGCACTGTGGCAGAGGCAGAGTCAGTCCAGTCTTCAGCCTCATTCCACAGCTTCACTGAGTGGCTGGAACACAAATGAAGGCAAGGGGTCCATCTTTCTCACACTGGAGCAGAAGCCAGTGTTCCCTCTGTCCACTTTAACAAGCATGTGGCCAGCTGCTGCCTGCAGCGTGTTGCTCATCACACTTCCCTTCCTTCTCTCCTGAAGGAAGCTGGTGAGTTGAGGAAAGGAGAGGGGGTGGCAAGGACACCTACATTAGCAGCAGCCCTACATCCACCAGCAAGGTTCAGCCTCCACTTCAGCAATCTGCCCTGGCTCGCAGACAGCCCCACCCACAAGCCTGTGTCCACTCTAGTCTCTGCAGAAGCTCAGCCCCTTTCCCCACCAACCAGAACTGTGTAATGCATGAGAGTGCAGATATGATAAAAAATAAGTAGTGAAAGTTGGGAGCTAACTGTATTGTGTTTTTAAAATATTCTCAGAAAAGTGGAAGAAAGTACATTAACTCTGTCTTGGAGGACATCCTCTCCTGGCCCCAAAGAGTGCTGGTTGGCTGTTTTCCTATATATCCTTGACAATTTTGCCATCTTAGTAGGGGCTTCCTTCCCACCTCACTCTCCTCTGCAGACACAAAATAAGCTTTATTGTTATGGATTTGATAAGCCTTCATAAAATACTGCCCAGAAACAATGATTTCCTGCATTGATGGAGACTGTCTTGTCTTCAAGAATTGAAACTAAAAGCACAGGTAAGAAAACCCTATTCTAGACACTGCTGACTAATAAGAGCCATCACTCCTAAGGTCTGTTTGCAGCTTCAGACTGAAAATGGGTTCTTAACTGTGAGAAGCAGGAAGAACTGGGAGAGTGAACGTGAAGCCTGACAAAGCTCCAAGCCAGTCCTTTGCTGCTCGTGCTTTGGTAGCTTATTAGTAGTCATGATATATCAATTTAACCTATAGTTGTTTTACTTAAAAATAAAACAAAAATGACCTAATCCAAGAAATTAAGGCTTATCCAGCATACCTATCCATAAACTTTTATTTCCTCTAAAGGTTTTCATGTTGATTTCAAAATAACTTAAACTTACTGTCTTTAATCTTCCAAGGTTACCAGTTTAAAAGACAGTTCTGTTATTTAACTACCCATAATCGGGTAAATGTATTTAATTGTCTGATATAACTCTGCAGGGGGAACACACCAGAAACTAGAGGAACAGCTTATGTGGTCTATGAAGACATCTTTGATGCCAAGAATGCATGTGATCACTTGTCAGGATTCAATGTTTGTAACAGATACCTCGTGGTTTTGTACTATAATGCCAATAGGGTAAGTATAGCCATGGTCCTCATCCCACAGGGAAGTGTAGAACCATGCCATGAGGGGAAAAGTAAAGAGTTCTTCCCTGGCTAGTGCTGTTGGTAACATTCATTTGACTCTGGATTGGTATCTGTTAATTTTGGTGCTTACCACATTTCAGGCATTTCAGAAGATGGACACAAAGAAGAAGGAAGAGCAGTTGAAACTTCTTAAGGAGAAATATGGCATCAACACTGATCCACCAAAGTAGATACTTCCTGCATTTTCACTTTGGACTAAAACCCATGGATGGCCACAACCACCCCCCCTTTTTTTTTTAATTAATAGTGAATATTGTGATTTCTTATTTGAGATTCAAAATGACCTGCTTGAAACTTTGATACATGTTAGAATATATTATGTTAATAAACTTGTAGCTTTTTGTAAAACATATTGGTGTTTTCTCTTGAACTTTCCCCTCCTGTTTGATACCAGGAAAAAAAACACCAAACAGCAGTTGAACCATATCAAGAATTGTTTGCTGGTACGTGGTTCTAGAAACTGAGCTTCTGGAGAGCAGGGATCTTCCTGTATTCTTAATGTCTCCATTGGGCAGTCCAGTGCTGAGCCATTAAGATAACTTCTTAGGGGGTTGTCATTTGTGAATGACTTTGAATAATGAAATCTTCACAACTCTGAAGGCACACAGCTTGGCTTTGTAGATAAGAAAACCAAAGCTCATAGTTTTGGTTGAATGGATAAAAAGCTGACATAAAAACCTGCTGTAACATCAACCAGTTATTAACAACACCGAATTTGAGTAATACTTGGTTTACAGTTAACAAATCACCTTTGTTAAGTGGGTACCCTTGTCCTTAGAACAGAGGTCCGTTCTAGAAATGAACATTCAGATGAAAGCACATTGTTAGAAATTTGAGAGCAAGCTGCTTGGGTAGCGGGTGTTGGTTATTAACCAATGTCTAAGATCATATTTATGTACTCTTCCACTTTTGGACCTTAGCTCATAGTATATCTTTGCCATAAAGTACTTAATGCTTATTATTGCAATCATGAGGTCCCATGGCATGGAAATAGTGTGGTTATTACTGCATTCATCATAGCTTGGCAGCTTGGAAGAGATAGCTATAATTTTCTTTTTATGGTTTAGGCATGGGCCAAATAGAAAAACATGGACTAATTGTTTTGTAAATAACTATAACCCAAAATGAATTTGAAGGGTACAAGCACTAAATCATTTAAATGGACAAAGAGCAACTATTCTACTACTAACTTCATTTGGCTTTGAAATCTGTCATTGCTCTAAGAAATTAGTTTTTTTATACTTTTTGCACTGTCTTCTCAAAGCCTATTATTGAAAATGAAAAAAATTGTCATTAATTACATACGAATGCTTTTTGAAAGCACTGTAAGAATATAGTCATTTTTAAGAAGGGCAGGCAGATGACAAAGGAGCCACAGCTGTGATTTTCTTGTGAATGGTTTTATGAGTTATTTATTTTTATAATGCATGGTGTGCCTTTAGGTATTTACAAATGTAAAAAGCATTTTCTAAAAGACTTTCTTGTAAGGGGAAAACAAATTAGACTTCTTTACAGTGTGCTTTGTCTAATTGGCAGACTGGCTTGCCACTGGTGTAGTTATTTTTAATTAATAACAGATAAATACTTTCTGTTAATAATTATAGCTGGTCCATCATTTGAATTAATATGTCAGCTGAATTTCATGACCTGAACGTAAAGAGTTTAAAAAGTTCCCTGTAATTGTTTGGCCATTTTGTGAACTGTCCCAATTAAATTATAGAACTTTAATTCTGTGGACAAACACTGAGCACCTACTCTGTGCTATGTCTGAGTGTGCAAAGATGCTGTGGACACAGTTACGATTCTCTGCACCAGGCATCCAAGGCTCAGTTTTTCAAACTGCTTTTAAAGTGCAAGGGATGATTGTGTCTACATGTGCATGTGCACACGTGTGCCAGAGCTGCTTTACATTCTAGATTAAAAGTTTCTAAGAAAAAATTTTTGTGTGAATAGAAAATGTGTTGACCATAAGTTTGAAAATGGCTGATACAATGTAGATCTCGTCTTTGCTCTCGTGCTTAACAGCTTTCAGTGGTTCTCATGGGACAATGTTCAAGCTTTTCAGTATACTGTATCCTAATTTTCTGTACCATCTTTTAAAAGTCAGTAAAGCAGGGCCTGTAAAGCCAGTAGGTATTTGCATTTGTTTCTTTCGTTATTTCTTTTGGTTCTCTTAGTGGGTATCTCCCATTACCACCTAGGCTATAAATACTCTAGACTGAGATCTTTTATATAACCCTATAATGGACACCTGAAATGGACCCTGGTGCCATTTTTAGTTTTCCTATTGGTGTCACAGCAGAAAACATGAGTATGTCTTTTACGCAGGCTGAGTTCTGAGGAATTATCGGTATTTGTGTCTGAGGAAAGCTGCGAACTAAAAAGTTCTGAAGGAAACAAGCCAGAAAGGAATGAGTGCAGCATCCACTGGCTGGTCTGGTCCCATGGTAGGAGCAAGCCCGGGATTGGGTGATCAAAAGCAAGATAGCTCCTTTCTCATTTCATTTTCTCCATCTTAAAGCACTGTCTCTTAATTCCTCAATCCTCAGCAAAGAAACAGAGAGAGAGCCAGGACTTCTTGGAGACCAGAAGGGTAGATGCAGTACCAAGATGATGTGGCCGCATATCATATCCATGACCATATGATACATATCGGTGGGTCTATAAAGGAAACTAACAGCACCTGTTACCAGCCTCTCACTCCTCAATCTTAATAATTTCAAACCATGATTGCCCAAATAACCCTGACTATGGCTAAGAGCTTTTCCCACCCACCTATGCCAGCTAAAAGAAAAATCTCTTAGCCACACTGCCCCAGACTTCTGTGACAAACGTAATCCACACCAGTAAGTGGGCTGATGTTAAAACCTACCCGGGAATTCCCACAAATAATAGTAAATGAAGATGGAATTCCGCAGTTAATGTGGAAACGTGGAATCATACGTTCTTCTCAGGACTAATCCCCCAATGTAAGTTAGAACAAATCTAGATGAATCTAAGCGGTAAACATGAAAACAAGCTGAGAATCACATACTCTGTTCAAATGTAACTTCCCAGTATAGGTGTATGGCTCCAAGGCCTAACACACCTTCATTTGTTCAGATTCACAGTATTCTTTTCCATCTGGGTGAGCGGAGCTCATCCCTCTAAGTCCAAACAAACAGATTGCAAGATCACAAAGTGAACGAATCCCGTATTTGATTACTAGGCTATGGGATCTGAAGGCAATATGTTCCTTTAGTTATTCAGAGGAGAATCCTGAGTCTGTAAGATAAGTAGCAAGTAATACCTACCTTGAAGAGCAGCTTAGAGGATTGGTGGTAATTTTATTTAAAAATACAAAGAACAAGGCCCAGCATGTACAATATTCACATCATCTTCACTATATTTATTATCACTTTCCTGGCTACTTGGAAGGCTCCTCTCCACTCTTTTTCCCAAGGGCAACTGGCTTATGTGGTCCTTAAGGCACTTCCTACCTACAATAAAGATGGACAGAATTTGTCGAGCAGAGAGCCTTTATTTTACATACCATTTTCAAAGAGGACATTGTGTAAGCAGCCAACAATTTCTAAGAATGTGACAGCAAAGGTAACTGGCTCAAGTCCCTCTGTGTACACCATGTACATTTCAAGTCTGAGCACCTGTGTGTCTGGTTTAAGTGAAGGTAAGGCAGTATAGATTGTGCAAACAAATTGTGTTCTGTGATCAGGAATGGCTACTACATGCATCACGCAAAATCCACAACCTGAAATGTTTGGATCTGCAACCAAAGTTTCCTCAAGCAAAGATGGGTGTGAACAATGACAAACACATATAGAGCAACTTGGGCAGAGATAATGGATAATGCCGTGGGGCAGTGAGGTTTGCACACTGATCAAGAGCCCCAAGCAGGAGGAGCCGTCCCAGTGGCAGAGCAGGCTAGGAGGGTGAGCAGCAGCCATCTCCAGCCACCTGGAGTTCCTGCCTTCACTCTAAGTTGAGCAGTTCCACGTCAAAGATGAGGGTGGCATTGGGAGGGATGACACCAGGGTGGCCCGTGGCTCCATATGCCACATCAGGGGTGCAGGTCAGCTTCGCCCTCTGCCCCAAGCTCATCTAGCAGGGATGGGAGCAGATGGGGAGAGGAGAAAGAGGGACCCAGCTTGATTTAAAAGAAAAAAGTAAGATAACTATGCCATTTTCCCAAATTATCAATTCTGAAGATCTGACATGAATTTTATGTCGTACATTAAAGTGATGGCTAAGAGCTGTGACAAATGCAGATTCTGCCTCAGACTAGTGAATACTGTGGGACAATAAGTTCCACAAAGTAGTCTCAAATTCATTCATCCAACAAACATTGCCTGTTATTCAAGCGTATGGCCCAAACACATCTATTCATAGCTTCCAAAAAAATCTAGAGGGTGTATAAAGAGCACATGTATATGTATCCACTCAAGTAGGGAGCTGGTCATTAAAGAGGCTTAGAGAACAGAGATCACAGCAAGATGGGGAGGGCTAGCACCCACTCTGATGGAGCATCATGACTTCACAGACCAAGGAAGAAGAGCTTGAGCCAGGGCTCACAGCAGTTGTAAAGAATCCACCTGGCATTAGTGGGACAATTGGTGAAATCTGAATCAACTGATTTCTAAATTTCGAATGACCAACTCAAAAATTGGAATGGATGGGTTCATAGTATTGTATCAGTGTTAATGTCCTGGTTTTGGTCATTGTACTATGGTTATGTAAAATGTTAACATTTGGGGAAGCTGAGTAAAGAGTATATGGGAACTCTACTATTTCTGCCATACCTTTGCAAGTCTGAAATTGTTGGGGGTTTTTTAAACTTTTTAAAAAAACACCTTGGTGACCGCCTTCCCAATCTCTTCTGCTGCCTCAGCCCCAGACAGCTGGCAGCTCACAGGCCTCCTCAGCTAGTTCTGAGCAAGCCTGGGGGGATGTGCTCAGTATGAGAGCCCCTGGTGACATAAAGAAGCCATGCTGGCAAAAAAAGAAGCATGGACACAAAGCCAGGACTGAAACTAGATGGCATCGCCATGCCCTGGCAATGGAGTCAAAGCAGGAGTGGTCTGTGGTAGGGTGAGGGTGGAGGGCAGTGCTGAACCAGACCCCTACCTGTTCCAAAACCCCTTAAGAATCAACCTCATCCTACCTGGGCTGCGCCCTCTTCAAAACCCTTGATGACTTCCTGTTTGCCAATTCTGAACTTGAAAGGTTTGTTTCTGTCTCTGGATGAATCAAATTTCTTCCCATTTTGGAGCATTCCTGTGAAAGCAAGAATAGGATGGAAAAGAGCTGTGGTCATGGGTTAGTTCCCAACTCAGGTTTAACATTCTAAAATGGAATTCCTATTCTGCACAAACCTGCTCCTTTTCAAGTCCTCCCCATCCATCCTGCTGTCCAAGCAAGAACCCTGGACACCTCCCCCTGCTTAGCTCCATACACGGCCTCTCACCAAGTCCTACATCTACATATGTCCTACGTATGTCTCAAATCCACCTACTTTCTCCATTTCTGTTACCACAACCCATGGCCTTACCAAGTCACCATCATGTCTCACCTATGTACAGAACAACGTCTAACTGGTCTTTTTGCTCCAGCCTACTCCATTCCATTCTCCACACTATGCCAAGAATGATTTTCATTTTAAAATGCACATCTGGTCATTTTAGTCCCTTGCTTAAAACACTTCAATAGTTCCCTGTGGCAGAATCCAAATGCCTAACTGTGTGCAGGCACTTCAAGCTCTGGCTATTGCACGCCTGGTGACCCTCTGTGCTCTTCCCTTCTTTTCCTCCTCCAACTTTTCCCAGTCAGGTCACACCTTTCTCGAATACCTCTGCACATTACAACTGTTTTTGTGCCACTTCCTCAGCCTGAGATGTCTTCCCAGGCATTTCTGCCTCAGGTTGAGTCTTCACCTGATTTCTCCCCAGCATGTAAAATCCAAAGGCCACACCATCCTCTGTGGCAGTGAACAGCGTAAAGTGACCCAGCCAGTCAGTGGTGGCCTCCAAACCCCATACAAACAGGGCTGTTGGAATCCAGGACATCCTGGGTGCCATCTCCAGAAGTTTGGAGCATCTCTCAGCCTCTGACTCATGATCCCCAATGTGCACACGATGTCTCAATCCAGCTGCCTAAGGCCCAAGAGCTGCTTTCTACTTCCAATTCTTGGTGAATGACTTGAAGATGAGGTTTTCTCTAAATGATGCTATTCCACAGCTTCCTCCTACAGCATGAACCACAATAAAAGGCAATTTGGGACCAGAGGAAGACCTGGTCTGTAAGTTCAGAAACTAGGTTCTGATTTTACCACTAATTCACTGTGTGAAGTTAGGCAAATCACTTCCTTTCTCCTGGCTTCAAATTTGCCATTTTTAACATGGGAGGTCTGAGCCAGCTTAGCATTGAGCTCTGTGACTGCACTTCTGAATTCCTACAACTTAAATGTATACAAGGGACAGTCTTACCTCCCTGCTTCTGGGCAGAATAAATTGGGTTCTTGCCCTGGGTACCAAACCAGACAAAGGAGAAAACCTTGTGTTTTCACAGATGGATTCTAAGGAGATCAAATACAAACCCGTGAATACACACAGACTGCTCACTCAGATACACAGAGATACTCATGCATGCTCACACGCATTTATGCCCACACACAAGAAAAACCCTGATGGCTAAACAGATTCTAGGAAAATATTCAGATGAACAGATCTACATACATTCACACAGACACATTTTTTTGGACAAATATCCAGGTAGATATGCACACACACACACACACACACACACTCCATTTAAAGACTTCCTCATTCCCCAATTTCTTCAGGTTTTAAAAGACTTAATCTACTTCAAACCATGGACAGTTATCTCAGCTACAAAATCAGCCAAAACTGTGCAGTCCAGAAACAGACCCACGTATGTATGGTTACCTGATTTGAAAAAGCTGCCACTGCCTTGCATTGGGAAAGGATGATTTTTTTGATTAATGTTGCTTAATCAACTGTATATTCATATGGGGGGGAAAATAAACTTTGACCCCTACTTCACCCACACACAAAAATCAATTCTAGATGAATCACAGGCTTAAATATGAAAGATAGAATGATAAAGCTTCTACAAGAATTCCCAATAGGAGAGTATCTTCATGACCTAGGGATAGACAAAGATTCTGAATACAAAAAGTACTAACCCTAAAAGAAAAGATCAATATGTAGGACCCTATAAAAATTAAGAACTTCTGTTCAAAAAATGCCATTAATAGAGTAAAAAAAGCAAGCCATAGCTTGGGAGATGTTTGGAATAGGGTCTAATCAACCAAAGACTCATATCCAGAGTACATAAAGAATTCCTAAAAATCAATAAGAAAAAGGTAAACTCATTTTTTAATTGGACAAAATTTGAGTGGACTGAAGAGGACATCCAAATGGCCAGTAAGCACAGGAAAAGGTGCTCAACTCCATTAGTCATCAGGGCAATGCCAGTCAAAACCACAGTGAGATACCCCCAGGCACTCACCAGAGAGAGCCAAAACAAAGACAAAAACTTGACTAAGTGTTGATGAGGATGTAGAATTGGAGCTCTCATACATTGGTGCTGACAGTGCAAAAGGGAATAACTACTTTGGGAAGCTGTTTGGCAGTATCTGCTAAATCTGAGCATAGGCATAACCCTGTGCCCCTGTAATACCACTTCTGCGTATATACCCAACCAAAATGTGTACATTCGTGCACCAACAGACATCCACAAGACTGTTCAAAGCAACACTATTCATAATAGCCAAAAACTAAGAACAACCCAAATGTCCATCAACCATAGGATAAACCAGTATATTCAGACAATGACCTCACAGAAATAAAAAGGAACAAACTTCTCTCGGTAGATCTCACAGACATAATTTTGAGTGAAATAAGCAAATAAAAGAGTATACGCTATGATTCCATTGATATGATGTTCAAAAAAAGGCAAAACCAATCCACAGGGACAAAAGTCAGAGGGCTGGTTACCTTTAGGGAGGTATAATGACTGGCAGGAGGCACGAGGCACACTCCTGGGCTCTGTGGAAATGCATATGTTGATCTGGGTAATGGTTACACGAGTGTGATCGCTTTGAAAAATTTCATTGACTTGTACATCTTAGATTTATGTTCTCTACTGTATTTATGTTTACTAAAAAATTTACCAAAAAATCCCATACAGTCTCCTGCTGTGTTTGATGAGACAATCCCTCTCCCCAAACCAGAGCATCTCATGGCTGGCATCAGTGCTTAGTGCATGTTGCCTGCTCTCTGTATGTATTGTGAGAAGTCTTTTCAAAAGGATGTTGTGGTTTCAGTAACTTAATAAGTACTGGTCTGTCTGCAACATGTAGAACAGATAAATCAATTACACAGGTCAGAGGCCCCAGAGGACTCATGGCAATTAGGCCACATCACCGGGAGATAAAACACGGCTCCAGCCCACTGACGTCAGCGAACAGCCACATAGCTGTTGAGAAATATCCACACCGTCTGCCTAGAATTAACCTGGCACTTCACACTGGCCCAGAGAACTGCTAAAAATGGCCCCATATGAATATGTCCTAGGAATTAAGTTGGCCTTGCTGTCTGCTAAGTGGCTGTCACCAAGTTTGCCACATTGGGAAGCAGGTCACAAGGCAGAGCACTCACCCCACTTAGAACAAACACCTGCTCGTGATCTTCCTGCCAGCAGTCCTCAGGAACTTCATCTAGAATGTTCCTCGGCCCACCTGGCCTTCCCATACAGACCATTCAAGAGAGGTCGCAGAGATGTGGGGCTCCCCTCTGGCTCCCATAGCACCTTGAGCCAAGCACAGCCATCACCCCACCCCTCACACCACATCAGAGCCTCTGGATGACTTGTCTGTTCTCCCCCAACCCCACAGCCCCAAAGAAGGCAGGAATCCTTCTTTTTCATCTTTGTGCCCCCAGTGCCCAGCACAGCATCTTGCACACAGCAGTTGCTCATCCACAGTAGGATGAACTGAATAGCTTATTTTTGAAAAAAGAAGGGAATTCTGAGAAAGCCAACCTCCTCTTCTCTAATAATACTGTAGAACAAAAAGGGAGTCTGCTCACAGCCTTAAGAAGAGATTTCCAAACATCAGAAAGGCCAGGCTCTACCCTACCAACAACAGAAGAAAGGGGAATGGAGGTATTTGGCTCAATTAGAGGCTGGCCCCTCAGATGGCTCTTGCTGGTGTAAGTGGGGAGTGGTTAACTTTTCAAGCTCTCTTTCTCATTCCTGTAAGGTTGGCTGGGAGAAGTGGGGGATAGTTGGTCAGAGGAAAACATGGCTGCCTTGGGCTTTGGGCCTGATCCAGTGGAGCAGGTACCTCTGGAGAGGGTATCAGAAGAGGGGCCTGCCTTGGGAGGGGCAGGTCTGGATGAGGGCTGAGGGAGCCAGGCCTACCTGTGTAGTGCACCACACACGTCTGCCCCTTCTTGGGGAATGTCCTTCCTGCAAGGAGACATGAGGGCATGTGAATGAATAGGGCATGAGAAAAAGTCACCTGGGACATTCAGGTGTGACTGTGACCCGGAGATATGGTCCGCATTCCCCTCTATACCATGGAGAGGCCCATGGCTAGTTCTGGCTCTGTGCCTTATATGAGCCAGATTAGTCACTGCACCTCTCTGGCCTTGCTAAGATTCCCTTGGGTTCCTTAACTCTATTCTCTCCTGGTTTTTCTGGTTCTTTTTTTTTCTTTGCCCTTTTTACTTTCCTTCATCCATTCTACAAACATTTACTGACTTTACAGCCTACTATGTGTCAGGCCTGGGCTAGATTCCAGAAACACAGAGCAATCTATGAATTGATGAAGTTAGGGAAACAGACATAAATACTAGATTATAATGCAGGGTGATGACTGCAATTAAGAATGAATAAACCCAATCATTCATAAATATTTACTAAATATCTACTATGTGCGAGACCTGGGCCTGATTTCAGGGATATAGCAGGATACCACACAGACAATACTCTTACCCTTTTAGAGTTTACATTCTAATGGAGGGAGGCAAACAATCCTCAAATAAACAAGAAAATCATAGATTGTGATAAGTTCTCTAAAGAAAATAAACACAATGATAAATTAAAGAGACATACAGTGGGACAGGCAACTTGAGAAAGAGTCGTCCAGGGTGGCCTCTCAGAGAGGTGACATTTGAATGGAAACTTGAAGGATGAGCAAAATGCTGGGAAACGCACTGCAGGAAAGGGAGCGGCAAGTGCACAGGCCCTGAGATGGGAAAGGATGGGTGTATTTGCTAAATGTAAGGGTGGCTAGGTGACTGGAAAGACAGGAGGCAAGTGGGAAAGAATCACTGTATCATGCTGGGCCTTGAAGACTGGATTTAATTCTGTGTGCAATAGGAAGCCACTGGAGGGTTTTAAGCAAGAGAATGACATAATCTGAATTAAGATTTTATAAAATCACTCCAGCTGCTATGGGAAGGATGGACAGTTAGGCGCCTGTTGCAATAATCTAGACAGGAAATCGATGATGGCTTGAATTACCATGGTGGCAGCAGAGAAGAGAGCAAAATAGACTGGAGATATATTTTGGAAGCAGAGCTGACAGGGTTTGCTAATGGGGTGGAGATGGGGTCCAGGATGAGGGAAAAGGAGAAATCAAGCACAGTGCTTGGGCTTTCAGTTTGGGTGATTGGAGGGTGGTAGAGCTAATTCCTAAGATGGGGCAGACTGGGAGGAACAGATTGGTACAGGTGGCAATCCTGAGATGCCTACTAGACATCTGTGTTTATATTGCAAGTAGGCAGATGCAGTGTCTGCACAGGAGGTATAAATTTGGGTGGAATTTAAAGCCATGGGGCTGTATAACAGAGCCTTGGGACAGCTAATACCAGAGCCAACGTTTAGGGAACTCTGGGAGTCTGAGGGAGGGAACAACTAACCGACTGTGGGTGTCAGGGAAAGCATCAGAGAGGGAATGATGGTTACACTGGGTCTGAAAAGATGAGTAGTTTGCCAGAAGAAGTAAAAGGAGAAAATCTGGGAAATGTGGACAACATGTTCAGAGGCCTAGAATGGAGCAAATGCAGGAACTTCATCTGTTTCACTGCTGTAACCCTGGGCTCTAGCACATAGCACATGTTCAATAAAATATTTGCTGACTAACTGGCAGTTTTGCAGGCCGGTTGCTAAAGCTGGAAAAAAAGTTGGTAGTGTGTGTAAGGACTGGTCGAAAGAGATGACATTCCTTTGTGGAAGGTAAGAATAGGATAGATCACCATTAGCCTGGTGAAGGAGATGGAAAATTCATTAAAACATTTTACAGGGGAAGGGTGTTGGGGCAAGAACAGATGAAAGGCACGGAGGTGAGAATGGAGGTGGGAAGACCAGTTTAGAGGCTGAACAGAAATCCAGGTGAGAGATGATGGTGGCCTGAACCAGAGCAGGGGCTGAGGGGCTGGAGCCTAGAAATATTCATCAGGAGGACTTCACAGGACATGGTGTGGGGCTCCTCCAGACAGGCGTCCCCAGCACCTCAGCATACTTATTGAAATATTAACTTGTACATTTCTCTCCTGGGGAACAGGACAGTAACTTGACCCTTTGATGCTTCCTTCTTTCAAGGGTTTAGACTAGGCTAAAAGCAGGAAGGCAAGTTCCTTCATGCCTTCCCTAAAAACCTAATGTCCCTTTAGAGAAAATGCCCCTTGTCTTTGGCCAGAGAGAGAAAGTAAGGAGAGAAAACTGTAAAGGATTCCTCGAGCCAGAGAAGGGAGAAGAAGCCTTCAGCCTCCTAGCAGAACCCTGTGGCAGTGCTGTGTTGGGTGACAAGGGGAGATGCGTCCTGGGCCCCAGCCCACGGGTACCAGCAAGCGCAAAGAAGCCTATCCCTGAAGGTGATAGGAGGTGACCTACGGCTGTGTTGTCTGTACTGCGTTTCAACAAAGAGGGTGGCCTAGAACCAAGAGGCCCTCCGATCTCCTTGGGAAGGTGGGGGTAGTCAGTAATGTCTGACATGGTTTGCCTGTCAAATCCTACAGAAATGGGGGGTACCAGTCTGAATTAAAGAAATAGAGAAATGGCTATGCCTTGCACCCCGTGGTCTAATTATACAAGGGATGTCTGGGAAAGTGAGTGGTGCCAGTTCCTGAGGCGAGGTGCAGGGAAGACAGACGGTGCTTGGCAGTGGGGAAGACAAGGAGCATGCGTTCTGTTTTGGACTTGCTGAGTTTGAGGGATCAGCGGGACATCCAGGTAGAGGTCAAGCAGCAGCTAGATAAATGGACCACCGTGAACTCAGGTCGGAGGGCTGGGCTGGGCTGGGAGGCTTAAGTTTGGGGGCCATCGGTTTGCAGACGATAATGAAAGCCGTGGGAGTCTGCAGGATGGCTGGAGAGAATGAGAGGGGCGGGGAAGAAAAAGCGAGATGCAGAGGCAGCGGCGGGAGCGCTTCTCCCCAGACTGGCAGGTCCCCGCGGCGTCTACCGCCCAGCCCGCAGAGGACCACCTGCGGGAGGCGCCGCGCGGGGTGTGTTAGAAGGGGGTTGCCCCGAGTAGGACAGACCCTAAAGCAAGACGTTTCCCGTTTCTAGAGCTCACCCGTCAGGGCAGGGAAAGCGGAGCTAAAACCTGGCCCTGAGAAAGCAGCAGTGGCGGATAACCGAGCGATTCCAGGCACGGCAGCGGCTGCCCGAGGCCCCCGGGGCGGTGTCCAGCCGCAGACCCCACTTCCCGGCCGCCGCCTTCGTTCCCCTAGGTGAGCGGGCGCGGAAGGGGAGGGCAGAGGAGCGTCTGCCAGACCCGAGACGCTCTGTCTGGGTCTCCTCCCGCTGCCCCCATCCTAGGCCCGCCCCCACCTTCGGTACCCTCCGAGCCACCTCGGTCTCAGTCAGACCCCCACCCGCCCGGCTCCGCCCCGGGACCCTTCCTCCTCCCCCAGCTCCGCCGCCCGGTACCGTCTCCCGGGGAGATGGTCTCGATCTCCACGCCCATCTCAGTCCCACTGGCCCCGCCTCCGAGGGTCCCCGCTGCTGCCCCGACCCCGGCTCGGCTCCGGCCCTGGCCCCGCAGGCGCTCCGGCTCGCCTCCCCGCCGCCACTGCAGAGCCGGAGGAGGTGCGGCGGGAGTCGGGACCTGCGCGGGGAGGGGCCACGGGGGAGGGGGCGACGGGGCGGAGCGGCGCGGAAAGGTGGGGTCGACAGGGGCGGGGCCCCGGGGAGCGACCCAGACACGGCTGCTCCGGAGCTTGGCGGGGTCAGTAAGGATCTTTAACCCGCAAACTGGGAAGATGGTGAAGGAGGCACGAAGACACTTGAGCATCCACCCACCTACCTATCCATCCATCCCTCCTCTCTCCCTCCATCCATCCGTCAGTTCATCCGTTCAGCACATACTTATCTATCTATCACCTACTCTGTGCTAAGCTTTGGGGAGTCAACCCAGTCCCGCATACTAGGGAAAGGCCGGCAACTAAACCGACAATTTAATTAGATGCACTTACTGCCGTGGTGTTCAGAACGTTATGGATGTACCAAAGAGGCGCGTTCCCTGGCTCAGCTGCCCGATCTGTAGTTGGTAGTATTGGAGGAGCAGGGAACCAGTCATTGCTGACCCTCCCCCAGCCACCCTAAATCCCTCTTCACCATCCTGGGTGGTTCTGCCCCACGCAGAGATGGATTCCCTGTGCAAAGAACTGCGCCCTAGGAGCACCAATTAAGACAGAATCACTGTCCCCCAAAAACTAAATCTGTGACAGTGTGATTCGTTCTGTCGGATGAATGAAAGAGTTCAACCCTGAGCTCCTCTTCACCTCCCTTCACCATGCCAGACTCTTCGCCTCCACCCGAAAGAGATCCAGGAATCTGGATAGACACCTTTGGAGGATGTAACATTTACTTGAAGAATGAATGGTACTTAATTTTAAATTTCTCTCTCTCTCTCTCTCTCTCTCTCTCTCTCTCTCTCTCTCTCTCCCCCCCCCCTCTCTCTCTCTCTCTCCCCCTCTCTCTCTCTCCCTCCTCCCTCCCTCTTTTTCTCTTTCTTCCCTGCATTGTTCCAAAAATTGATGTGAAGCTACAAGTGACGCTGAAAGATAGGCAGTCCAGAGCCGGCCCTAGAGGTGTTCGTCCTCCAGTTCCCTATCCCCTACTCTCCCAGGTTAGCTCAGAGACTTCAGGTTCAATTAATCGCTACAGGAGAACTAGCTGTTTTGTTCAAGAAAGATGATGGTCACCTGTGTACTTTGTACTCAACACAAGACAAAGATAGGCACTGTGAGGGTCAGGGCCTGAAATTCTCCAGGGGCGCTCCGCTGTGCGGCCCAGAGTCTCCTAGGAGTGCAGCTGCTCTGAAGCCTAGTAAGGCACTAGCTCCTGGGCCTATGGCCATGGGCAGGCACTTTTGGGCTACGTGTAGAATAGGGGTTTAAATTGGGATAGGTCCATGGAGCGGCTTCAGTTGACTGCACAATATTTTGTTTATGGATGAAAGGATAAGAACATTTTTAGGGGAGATTTTATTCACGTTTTAAAGAGGTCCTCTACTTCTCATTCCCTCACCCTCACCCTCACCTCCCCAAAAAAGTTAAGAAACTGTGTTGACCCTACGGTTCCTGAATTCCTTCTTAGACCAGGAACTGATGAGACATGGGGGAAAGCACTAAACTTCTTAAGAGAGGAAGAAATTGTGGCTAGTTGACCGTGGGTGGAGTTTCATGGGAACTACAGCTCCCAGAAATCCGTGCAGCAAAGGCCGAGCTTATTGGCAAGTAGGAAGGCCCCTCTCCTAACTGGGCACAGGCAAAAGCCAATAGACAGGGGGCATTGAGGAGCTTTCTAGGCCACCGTTCACCTATCAGAGGCCTGGGAGGAGATGCTTCCGGTACTCGCTCTGGGCTTCGGAGCCGCGGTCGACGAGGAGGGACGTCCCTCGGGAGACTAAGTTTCTGTGGGGCCGTAAGACCGAAGGTATTTTGTCTCCATTGTTGCCCGTTTTGTCTGTGTCAGGAGGTTCACAGTGGCCCGAGAGGGAGGTGGATGGACCGGAACTTGGGGGTCTGGAAGGAGACCCAAATATGCGGAAGGAATGGGGAGAATGGGGTTGGGGGAAGCGTGCGAGGGGCTAGCAGGTGACCACAAGCCGGGGGTGTGGAGGGGGCGGTTTTAAATGAGTGACTATATTCCCTGTGACTCACGAGTGACACTTCTAGGAATTTAGACTAAGGAAGCCATCCAAAAGGGAGAACATGCTCTATCCCCCAAGACCTTTATCTCAGCGTTATTTATAATACGAAAAAGTTGGCTACAAGCAGGTGCTCAGCAGTGAGGAAAAATATGCAACTTCACTTAAGTGAATAAGTAACTTCTGAAAGTAATTTATAAAACTTTTAAGTAATGTGGGAAAATGCTATTATATAATTGGAAAAAATCTTAACACGGAATTATACAGTATGATTGAAAAAAATGTAAAACACTACATAGAAAAAAGCCTGGAAGGGTAGTCACAGTTTTCTCTGGATGACTGATATTTTTGTGTATATTTACCTTTTTTCCTTCCTTGCGTGTTAATTTAAAAAAAAATAAGTGTAAGGACCTTGAAACTATTTTATAGTGGAAACACAATAAACTTAGAAAAACAAGTTGGGGTTATGTGCCTGTTTAAACCTATGGCAAGTGCTCCAGTTCATCTAAACCCTTCATTCTCACCATAAGTTGTCTTTAAAGAAGATTAGAAACAGAAGAATTAAATGGGTGTAGACTGAGCACCAGGTCCTGGTTCTGACCACCTCCCCACTAAACTAATACAGTGGCTTTTCTCTCCCTGAAACATCCAGGACTCCTAATTTCAGAACTCTTACAGTCTGACGGTTGAGAGACCAATAGATACACAATTAACTTAAGGCAAAATTTAAATATTTTTAAAGACACCAAATAATTGGGGAACTCCTCAGCCTTCCTCCTCTTGGCTCTCAGACCTTTTACAGCCAGGTTATCCACTGCTTTTGGCTTTAATACCAACTCCATGACAGCGGCACCCAAATCCTTAACCTCTGGCTGCCTAAAGTACGTTGCTACCTAATAGACATCTTAAATGAAGCACATCAACTACTAATTTATCACACATTACATACCCTTCATACCTTTGAAGCATGCCCTGCCTTTTATATCTCTGATTAATGGTTTATTTCCCAACCAAAAAACTGCATGTTAATTTCCTTAATTCTCCTTTCCTCCTCTCCGCTCATATCCTGCTTGATAACGTTAATCTATTCCGTCTGCCTTACAGTATCTTAAATCTGGCCCTCTTTCCTTACTTAAGTAGCCACAGATTTGGCTCATTTTTCTCATGTGACATTCTAACTATTTTATGGCCCCTTGTTAACCTTGTCAACCTCATCAGGTCCATCCTGCCTATTGTCACATGAACGTGTGCTGCTGGTCCTCCAAATTCCTTAGTTGGCCTTTTATGATCAGGGACATAGGTTGGAAAGATTTATCACTGTCAGATAATAAAGGCCTTAAATGCCTTGCTAAGACATTTTGAAAGAACTTGTTATTATATGTAGACTGTGGAGATATATGAAAGGTATTTGTGCAGAAGACCAAAATGGCCAGAGCTGTGGTTTTTCAAAGTTAATTCTGCACAACCACACATAGCATTCAGGCTCTAGGAAGGAAGAGACTGGTATAGGGAGGACCTCTCCTTGTCTTACTTTACTAAAAAGGGAGAGGTGGTCAAGACCTGAACTAGCAATGAAGTAGAAAGGATCGGACAGATTTTTGTAATTATTCATAGAGAAAAATATGCCAAATTTCTTCTTGTTACTAAAAATAAAATATTAAAATTAATTCCTAAAAAAAATCTCAGTAACATTTATTTTTCCTTTGTTCGCAAATTCTTACTCTATGCTACTCTTGGCCACACACACCCTCAATGACATTAGAATGACTTGGGTGGCCAAAACATATTGTATAAATTACTTTTGATATAATTGACCCATTAGAAATTTTCTATTCCCCGAAAAATGTATCATGCATAATTTATCAATAAGAGTCTTTTAAAAGTGCATAAGTAGATATTAGGGGAAAGCATATATTATCTTATAAAAGACCAGTGGGTTAGAGATGGCAGTTTTCTTCATTAGTAATGACAAGGGACTTATTTCTCCATTTAGCAAGCCACTACAGAACCACTTAATCTGACATCATGTGTAGAAGCACAACAGACCATTCCTTCTTAGTAAGAGATTCTAAAAGCAAGGACAAAGCTAGCAAAGAGGTATGAGAAATAATTTGCAGACTGAGTTAAAAACTAATCACTGGGCAGTTTGGTAGAGAATTTATTTCTTTGGATTTAGAGTCTGAAGGCGACTTCTCAAGTTCTGTCTTTGACACATAATTCTCAGTAAAACGGAGTTAAAAAATGTCCATTGGAAAGGCAGTACAGCACAGAAAAGACAAATAATGACCTTATAACATCTTACTACGCTGATGGACAGTGATCGCAATGGGGTTGGGAGGGACTTGATAATATGGGCGAATGTTGAAACCACAATGTTGCTCATGTGAAACCTTCATAAGATTGTATATCAATAATACCTTAATTTAAAAAATTATGCAATACCATATTAAAAAATGTCCATCGGATTCAGTGACATGGCTGGCACTGGTGACTTGGTGAGAACTATTCTATTTTACAGCTATTGACTCCTATCAATAGGAGTCAATTTAGGGTGGGTAAGAAGAGTGGTGAAGAAATGGACACTGCAAATTCAGATAATTCTTTGGTAATTAACATGATTAAACATTTAAATATGGTTAGTGATTGTCATATTGTTTTGTAAATTGACTATTTGATATTCTTTGGGCATTTTAAAACAGAGTATCTTTTGAAATGGTCTGAAACAGGTCTTTAAAATATCTTTATTTTCTTTTTTCAGTTGCAAAGGGAGTATTTAAATACATGCTTATTATAAAAACATTTTTTTTTCAAATACAGAAATAAGAGGGTCCCATCTGATCTCTTACACCACCGCATCTAATTTCAGTATCTGCTGTGAATAGTTAATTTGATGTGTTATTACTGATTTCTTCTGTATCTTTATGTAAATACACACATATGTATGGACATACAGATGTGGGTTTGTTTTTTTTTTTCATAAATAGGGACATACTAGATTTTTGTAACCTATGAATTTCATTGTTCTCTTTGGGGGTTATTTTTCTGTATCAGTACTCATGGAGCTTCCTTATTTTTTATTCAACTATTTCCATATTGATGTTCATTTAGATTTTTCTGTTGCAAAGGATGCCACAGTGAACATCCTTAAACATACATATGCACGTTTGAGTGCTTCTGTAAAAAGTCTTGGTTGTTGTTAGATCTCTTATGCCTCTGTTTTATACATTTGGATCTTTAATCCATCTGCAATTTATTTTGTTTTAAGATGTGAAGGGCATGTTTCAGAACTTTTCAAAAAAACAAATTTCTTTTTCAAAAAGTAAAGCTCAGCTCTATTAACTCTAAGATAATAATAGTGCTTCCATTACAAGACTGTAACAAGATTTTATTGAATTCTAGATGAACAGCACCATGTGTGGCACACACTGGAATGCTTATTTCCTAGGTTTCCTTCTGATTTGGCCAGAAATTCAGGTAATGGTCTCTTTTTGCATAGTCAGTAACAGTGTTATCCTGATTTCCTTTGTTTGGACATGTCTTACATTTAAGACTAACTGCAAAGTTGTACCAGCAAAGTCGACAGAAGTTAGTAAGGTTCTACCATATTTTAAATGGTGATGAATGGGAATTTAAGTGTTGCCTTTTGCTTCCCTTCAGTGTTATGAATAAAATGAAATAAAGCATACTGGCAAGAGTCAGAAATGAGCAATCTAAAGAATATAGATAAAAGAAAGCTATTTGACAGCTTTTAAAATGAGACACTTAAAACATCTTGGATTCTTAACTGCAATAAAAATTACTTGTCAAACATGATGTGTTTTGGAATTCGATTTTGGCATTCAATTTTATAAGATTTTTATCTTTATGCACACTTAGGATTATATATAATTGTTATATAATCTATTTACAAAAAGGATTTGAAGCAGCCATCTACAGTATTGATTAACTCCATGATAAGTTAATTCATTTCAGGCTTTAAGTACATCTTGCTCATTTTATTGGCTCTCTCCAAGTCATCATAGCTTCATAGTGGGGCTACATCCAAAACTGTGATTACAGTAACGTAAAGAGACACAGCATTAGTAGAGTACACATGTTTTTTGTTTACCTGATTGCTGTGAGTAGCTTAAAATTTTGAACCAAGAACTGCTACCGTAAGCAGAGCTATTATTTTGCCTAAAGCACTGAGTGTTAGTATCCTGATTTGTGATCAGGGAAGTCAAATATGTTTTGACTTCCAAAATATGTTTTGGCTATACAAGTGGCCAAGTGTAAAAACCAGTGTTCCACAGAGACAATCACAGAGTGAACCCATGGGATAAGAGAAAAATCTGAAATTTCATCCCTATTATTAACATTTTAATAAAATAGTTTAGTCGTTAGGTTTCAAAAGTTTGATTGTATTTTACAGGAAGAGTAACTTCTCAGCAATGCTAGCTCCTGGATTATGCTTGTCATCCTGCTATACCCTTTCAATACTGAACAGCCACTTCATTCAGCTGGGACTGTGCAGGTACAAGATATTTTGGGGTACCTTTTTATTTGACACTTTTATCCCCTACATTCTCTTCTTTGTTATTATGTCTGGACTGAAGATGATTTGTCATCAATGTTGCATATAATTTTGGAGACTTTCTACTTCATTGAAAGTTGGAGGTAATTTCCCTGTCTGGCTTTAATTCATTCTCAAAATGGGATTAATTCCAGTTAGGATGTTGACTTAAAAGACTCATGGCTAAATAGAATTTAAAAACTGAAAGTTAAATGTAGTTCTGAAAGACTTTTGTTCAGTGAATATTAGTATAATGACCAATTTTACCAAGATTAGAGTTAGAATTAATTTCTATCACTGTGCTTTATATTTTTATTTAAATTTCATGAACATCTGTTGGTCAAAAAGAATATAATGTTTTTCTTTAAATTATCTACCTAATATACTCTTTGTTAATATGTGTATTATTAGCTAGTCTATGTCTCAAGTCAACTATGTGAAAGTTCTTAGTAATTATTTTTACACTAAAGTTAGTCTTTCATAGTCATTTATTATTGCAACACTTTATTCTTACAGCTGATATTATACATTTATCTATCACTCACTGATAGACTTTTGAAATAGAATGTACCTGAGGCAATTTTTCGCCTTATTAAATAAAGAGTGCTTATCATGTTTGTCTCATTTTGAACAGGAGTGTTTAGGTTCTGTAATTCATCCAGGTGATGTTAGATAATTTGGAATATCCAGTTTATTCTCATTGCCGCCTTACTCTCATTACTGACCTTACATATTTTAGATATGTGTGGACACGCATGTTTAGGGATGCTAGAAATGACTTTAGAGCTTTAGGCATTGGACTGTTCAGTTTTCTAAAGGCTAGAATCCATGCCAAATAGTAGATTTTTCCTGAATACTGAAGCAAGCCATCTTTTGGTCATCCCAACTTGAAGCTCGTTAAAGCAGCAGTAGACGAGGTTCTGTACCTTCAGATGATTCAAGGAAAGCTTTTTATACTGTGGCACTGACATAGAATCTACATTTCAATAATTCCCAGAAATAAAGGTGTTATTTTTTTTTCCTGTAGGAAGAAAACTTTTAATTTGTTCTAAATCCTACATTATTTTTATAAAATGCTAAAATTATATCATGTAAATATTTGATTTATCAATTTTGTTTGTCCTTGTGATTTAAATGATAATGTGCATTCAAGACCTGAAAACCTGTGCTAATATGTATGGTTGTTTAACCTTTTTTTAAAAAATACAGGAAATGAGAAATGCTAGTGTACTCCTGCATTTGGACTGTATGAAGCAAGGGGGAGGGAAATATCTCCTAATACAGTATTCCCTGTTATTTTGGTGTTTCTTAAGAGGGTGGATTATTTAACAGCCTTAAAAAGCATGTCCAAGTATAGTCAAAAGGGGATTACTGACTCAATATTATAAGAGCCTAGAGCAATAAAAATGTAATCAACACAACCCCTGGCAATACTGTGACCCAATTGGAAATTCCTTATATGATGTGTTAGACGCAGAGCGATCCATTTGAAAATATTTGTCAGCACTTATAAAGTGAGCTAGGAACTGACAGGCAAAGTTAAGTCTAGTTTCTGCTCTCAAGGACTTTGTACGTTGGTTGTGGAAATGAGATTTAGTACATGAAAAAGTAACTGGTAGTTGTAGGTAATAAACTGAGGGTGTCACATGAGTGGTTTAAACTGTAAGGGCTCTTGGAGTTAACAGGAGGAAAATATCACTTTTGGCGGATGGTTAAGGAAGGCCTCTCAGAGGAGATGGTATTTAAACAGGACCTTCAATTCAACCATCATTCATTGTTTTGAATAGGCCAGGCATTGTAACTATGAAGATTAACAGAAATAAGACTGGAGAGATTGGTAGGTCCAGATTGGGAAGGGGTTTGAATGCCAAACTGAGGAATTCACTTTATCCTATAGGCCAGTGCTGCCCAGCAGAACTTTCTCTGATGGTAGAAATGTTCTATTCTGCTCTGTCCAATATGATAGCCACTAGCCACATGTTAACTGTTGACCACTTGAAAAAGAACTAGTGACTGGAACTGGGTTTTCTTATTTTAATTGAGTTTACATAGCACATGTAACTAGTAACTACTGTATTGAATAGCACAGCTACAGAGAGTAGGTAGCATCTGAGAATTTTTAAGCTGATAATTGATATTCTTAAAAGGGCATTTTCAAATTGGTTTTGTACAAGGTGGACTGGAAAGACAAATTGGAGGTCGGGAAACTGACTGTTTCAGTCATCCAAGTGTAGGTGATAGTGATCTGAGCCAGGGTAGTGCTGGTGGGAATGACAAGAAGTACTGGATTCAGAAACAAATCTAAGAATTAGTGGGGCTTGGTTTCTGAGAAGGCAGAAGACAGAGAAGCCAGACTGAGTCCCTAGTTTTTAGCTTGAATGAAATTGACAATAGTGACATCATTAACAGAAATTGAAGAGCTGCTGTTGAAAGCAAAAACCTTTTTTTTTTCTTTATACATGTTAAGTTTGAAGTGAATGTGGGCAGGGCTAATATCAGCCATAATGTAAAGCCTAACATGTATTTGAATAACATTGACTTATTCCCCATTTTTTGTTTAAAAGAAAAAACTTAGCAAAGAAGCCAGGAGAAGAGATGCAGATCTGAAAGTAATAAAAGGTGATAATTGAAAGCATGTGAGTGGGTAACATTGGAAGGAAGGAAAGAGAAAAGTGATAAGAATTGCATACTAAACTTTCTGGCTCAATCCACATCTAGACGAAAATTGGCAACAAGCTGAATTCCCACTTACAGAGGAATCTTTGAGTACATTATAATATATACATACTAGGGAATACCTTGCAGCTATTTAAAAGATCTAAGCAGGTCTGTTTTTATTGACTTGAAAAGGTGTCCTTGATTTAAAATAACTAGTGAATAATAGATAACATATCTCTGTGGTAATTGTTGGTTATTTTTTGAAAACCCCTGGCTGATTTGTGAGGGGTTCCGGGGGACCTCCCTTGGTGTGGCTCTTGCTGGGAGGCAGTGCCCTGCCCTATTACAGAAGCCTTGTGGGGAAACCCTCCCTCTCTCCCCATCCTCCTGGCAGCTAGAGCAAGAGTATGTGAGCTAGGCTCAGCCAGTGGAAGGCTCTCCCCACCTCATTCATAATCCTCAGCAACTGCCATCAAGTGAAGGGTCAGTGCAGTTAGATTCTCAGTCCCCGGTGTGTCCAGAGAGTAGGAGCAGGGGTTATTCTGTGGGGTCTCGCTTGGTTCTTGCTTGTTTTCTGAGCCTGGTTCTTGAGCCCTCTCTTTTGTTGCTTAAATTAACCAGGGTGATTTCTGTTGTTAATCCAGGATCTCTGACTTACTCCCCATTTTTTTGTTTAAAAGAGAAAACCTAGCACATATAAAATTGTGGTTTTCTTGTAGGTTTCTTTAACAGATTGAAAGGCTGCACACCAGATTGTTAACAGTGCTTTTCTCAAGGACTTGAGATTGTGGGATTGTTTGTGGTGGTGAAGAGAGGTTGGCATGGGGTAGGAGGAGACATTTAGTTTTCCTTTAGATACATCTGGTTTGTTTGAATTTCATTTCTGAGCATGTACTTCTCCAGTAATTTAAATGCCTAAAAAAATGAAGAATGAGAATGAGAAAACTAATACTTGCCTAACCTTTCTTACATTATTGTGAAGGATTGTTGCAAGGAACAAAGGTAACAGGGAGAGTTGCCAGATTGCATTTCATGGACTTTTTTACTTAGTGTGACATCACATGCTCACCAGCAACTTATGAGACTTTTTCCTTACATCCTTACCAATCTGATAATTATTAAGTGCTATTTAAATATGCTGAAATAGAAATAACAATAGTGAGTTATGAGTGTCATTTCTGTATAGAGGTAAAAGCCATTTTGAAGGGAGTTGAGGAAATAAGTAATAATAAAGTCAGGGACATGAATATCAATTATCAATTGATTTGGCATTGAAAGAATAGAAATTAGATTGTGAGAGAGATTTTTCTCAATTTTTTCATTTGAAAATTTTCTAAAAAAGTTGAAATCTTCATAAATAGCAACAAAGCCTCAATCTACATTCAACAGTTACTAACATTTTATCTTTTATATCTGTTTTCTCTATATAAAATTTGTTGTTTTTTTTGTTTTTATTAATCCATTTGAAAGGAAGTTGTAGGCATCATAACACTACCCAAAATAACTCAACATGCATATTTTTTTTTTTAGAGGGCATCTCTCATATTTATTGATCAAATGGTTGTTAACAACAATAAAATTCAGTATAGGGGGGTCAATGCTCAATGTACTATCATTAATCCATCTCAAGTCTAATTCTCGTCAGTCTCCAATCTTCTGAAGCATAACGAACAAGTTCTTACATGGT